GCATTTTAAAATTCTTTTTTATCTAAAAATACTAACAATAAAACTACCTGTTACATAGGATTGAAGGACCATTTCAAGTAAAATAATGCCTGTAAAATGATCAGCGCAGTGTACAGATCTTAGTTACCCTGCACATATCACCCATTATTATTGTAATAGGAAGACAATAACCTTTGTTAAATGTCTGACTGTTTCATATGACCTTCTCACGGGTCACTCGTCAAAGTGTCAGCTGAGTCATGTGACTTGCCTATATGTGATCACTGTAGACCTTCAGTGACCAATTCCGTGTGACTTAACATAGTAATGGTAAATGGATTCAACCTTGGTTCTCCTTCTTGCTAGATGCTGCTGCCGAAAAAAGTAAGAGGCGTTTTTTCCAGCCAGTATCCAGAAGAGACTCTTTTGGTATATATAAAATGCTATCCAAGAATAGATTGTGTTTGTGTTTGAATACAAATGTACTGAAACATGTTCTCTGAATCACATCAACAGATCTTCCACGACTGTGCAAGAGCCAGGGTAAGTATTCCAGAAACCCCAACCACCTATGCTCGGGGCAGAGCCTGTGCCTTGGGAATTATGGTTGTAGCATTGTTCTTCCTCCTCTGTCAGGCCACAGGCAAAACCCCCAGTTAAGATTGCATTCCTCTCTTCAGGTGACTCCAGATTTATGCTCAAAGATATACTGCGTTGATCAGTTAGGCCGTGCAGATGTGTTTGCAGTCAAGATGTTTTATATACTCTGTCTTTCAAGAGTGACATTTTATAAGTAGATTAAAGAGTGTTCGTTCATCAGCCTACTTAAGAGGGATTCTGAAGTATAAGTGAGGTAGGAAACCAGTAGCAGAACTAGATGTGACCTGAAATCTCTCCTGGAAATATTAAACAGGACTGCCAGACAGTCCATCCACTCAGATATACTTTGCAGTCTCAGAATGAATAATAAAGGAATCAATTAACCTCTATGCTTTATTGAGCAGTTAATAAGTGCTAGGAATTCTAAAAGATTCTTGCATGGATGTTGTACATCATTTGCTCCTCACCACAATCTTGAGGTGTCATTCTGAATACACGAGTAAGTGGAAAAGCTGGAATTTGAAGACACATCATTTAATTCCAACATAGCCTGCTTTGTACTGTCTTTCTTAGAAGCATCCCGTCCCCACATTTGTGTGAGTGCGTATGTGTGTACACATATACATTCTCTAAAATCTGGTTATATAACCACAAAGACAGTTGCTGACTCAGCCAAGCATCCACTCAGATATTCCCTCCTCTCTTTGCAGTTCTTAGGAAACTGGAATTCTTTGCAATTTACCTTTGTCTCCCTGCGATTAAATGTTGTCCACAAATTCAAACTAAGAGAAACTGGCAAGGTGAGAGGGGGGAGCAGACCAAGGTGTGGAAAACAGAACCAGAACAAAGGAAACCTGGCTGACAGCCTCCTCCCTTTGACTCCACAGAGTAGACTGCATCTCAGTCACCTTTGAGTCCCGCCAAGTACCTTGGATATTTAAGCCACAAATTTAAAATCGACCCACTTTTGCAACCTTGGACAGATCAGGTACTCTCTGTAGAAGAGGTGGTCGGGGTAGCCTGGCACAGTTCCGACTGTGCACCTGGGTCCTTCTAAGGCCACTCATCAGCCTGTGCAGGGGTTGAGTGAGGGACAAAGAACTGGTGGGGCCTTGCGCTTGCGAGCTGATGGTAAGCAGCCTCAAGATGATCAACTATCTGTCCAAAGACATTTTGCTTGAGGAAAATTGTCTCCTGGGAGTTTTTCTCTGGGCTCACCTATCTTAGAAGAAACTGCCTGCTACTTTAGTTGTTTTCTTTGAAATAACAAGGTGAGCTGTTTCAAATTAAGATCTTAGACTTGGGAACCCTAGGGAACCATATTCTCCACTGGGAAATAGCCAATCTATGGCCTAAACCCACGAATGTAAAGCTTTTCTATTTAAGCACTGCAATAAGAACAAGAGACAGTTTATATTCCTAAGGGCTTAGTGTTCATCCATAAGGAAGAAATTTCTTTGAAATCTTATGTTTTATCCTGCTCCGAATTCAAGAAAATCTTCTTCCAACTCTGTTCTGTCTCCGTGTTTGTTTCAATGTTAAATTGTGGCCCCAAAGTTTTCTTTTTTCTTCTAGTGTACTGGGGATTGAACCTAGGGCCTCCACACTGAGCTATATCTCCAGCCCTTTTATATTTTGAGATGAGATCTCATTAAATCGCTAAGTCTCCCAGGCTGAGCCCAAATTTGCAATCCTCCTGCCTCAGCCTGGCAGAGTGCTGGGATTGCAGGCATGCACCACCACACACAGCCCAAATCTTTCAAGTTAAAATTGACCCTTACAGGGCTAGGGATTTAGCTTAGTGGTTTTGCCCCCCTGCTGCGCAAGCGCAAGGACCCAAGATCGATCCCCAGTACCAAAAAACAAAAAAAACAAAATTGACCCTTACAAAAGCTATGCTGTTTTGACCCTGGAACTTCACTTTCTCCCAGGATATAGCTTTGTGCCCTCTAAATTCTAGAATACACACATTTGAGTGTAGGAAGCATCCCTGGAACAAATAGCCACTGTCACCCCTGGATTTATATGAAGAGTGAAGTCAGCAAAGCATGTAGCTATTTGGTTGCAGGATATATAACATCTGGTTCTTCATTTTGCCAAAATAAGGATGAACTCTCTATCTGCCTTTTCTGTGCCATCCCCTGAAGGTTGTGTCTGGTTGGTTTGTTCCTTGCAATAACAAGAGCACTGTTAAAGTTAAAACAGCTTCCAGGTAGAGGACACTGAAGCTTTTGAATTTCCTATACGGTACCCTGAATTTCACAATGTGCTGCATGTCCATGGTTGATTTCTCCTTCTCTTATTTGGCCTTGAGGTGAAATGAAAGCTACTCACTCTATGGAGAAACAATCCCTTTGAGAGGAGGTGGATTTATGCCCAGCACACAGAGTGGACTTCCTGAGCCTGAAGAGCCTGAAGAGAACATGGACGGAAGGTCCCTCTGAGACTTTGATCCCCAGCATCCTCATGAATTGAGTGCTCAGGGTACATTGACTGTAAAGGCTCGATTCAATCCCCGGACACTGTCCTGATTTGGAGACTAGACTCTTGACCACCTGTCAGCAGGAACTTGAAACTGCAGGCACGCATGCACTCCCTCGGGGCATCACACAGGACTGCAGGTGCTGGTCATGGAGGATTCTGCCTTCTCTCGGTTTCCTTTCTCTCTCATGGATGATAAAACCACTGTCCCTCCTCTATCTCTACCCAATGCCTCAAAGCATTTAGCCACACACATCCCCACTCCTCCTTAGAAAAAAGCGAAGGGAGGGTTTTTGTCATTGTTGCTGTTACACTGCCAGGAGAGGCATTTACGAAGTAAGTCACAGTTCAGTTGTGATTGTGTCTCTCAAGTCTGGAAACACCGTAACCCAACACTTCTAGTCTCTGATCTTGGGTGTTCTTTGCCTAGCAGGTCACCTGGAGTCCACTCTAGGGTTGGACTGTGATCAATCACAGAGCAAAACTATTTGGGAGAGAAACACAGTGTAGGCTGAAACAGTGTAGTACAGACTGAGGTTGAACACAAACATTCTGCAGTCAGACTGCAGTCAAACCTGACTTACTTTCCAACTGTGAGCCTTCTGAGAAGTTCTTAATTCCTTTAAGCTACGTGTCTTTACTGGTTAAATGGAGTTGATGTCAGGACATGCTTATTAAAGAAGTTTATAGATAAAGACAGCTAATGAGTAATAAAGCACTTTTCATCATGCCTCACACTTGGCACGACAGAAATGATAATTTGTCATGAGAGAGAGTCCCTGCCCTCAGAGCCTCGCTGCCTATCTTTGAGGGACCTAAAATATAATGGGGACAGCACTTACAGATACAGTAAAACATAGTACTTTAAAATCGTAACATGACAAGCAGTATAGAATTTCAGAGAAAGGAGAGATTTAAGCTGAGTTTTAGGAAGATTTCACAAAGAAGACCATATCCTAGAATGTGAAAATGGATTAGGATTTGGGCTAAGCAAAGAGAGGAGGCAATCTGTATAGATGGAAAAGCAGAAGTCTACAAAGCAGGGAGGAGGATCTAGATGAGAGGCCAATGAAGAGACCATGTGCATAACACAGACAAGTGCGTGCCATAGTGGAATTAGATTTGAAAAGCAGATGTAATAAGAAAGACTGGGATTAACTGGCAGAGTTTTGTGAAGATTGAAATTGAATCATTAGAAGGTCAGTGGAAATTTCTAAGAAGATGGGTGACGTGACAATAAAGAACAGGGTGGATTATAGAGGGAAGAGAAGGAAAATGGCAAACTATCACGGAAATCCACTTGTAAAATAGCAGTAGGTAGAAGTGATTGAGTCACCGGAAAAGGACCAAAGCAAAAGACACAGGAACCTTTCTGAATGGTGAACTATCCGTGTTCAGGGTCAAATTGAAAAAAGGGGGAAGAAGTAGAATATGTCAATAAGATCTCTAGGTTTTGAGATATGTAACAGAGTTTATGATATGACGTTATAATATGCAACACCAGTAGAATAATTCTCTTTATTGCAGCTGCCTACACAATTATAAATTCCTTAATATGCGTTTCACATGATGAATTGGTACCCCATCTTGTCCATTTTATATCAAATTTTAAGCTGATTATTCATCAATTTCCTTAGCAAATATTTCTTGGAAACTCTTCTGCTTCAGGGATTGGGATTAAATCAAGAATTACTGAAGTCCCCACCATGCCGAAGACTTTTAAGTCCTTGGTACTTGGGGCTAAGAGAGGAAAGATGAATGGGTGGCAAGCATAAATTTTAATATTATATAACTTCTAAAATGAAATTATATATGTCATTGCCAAGGACCTTCAGGAACTGCTCTAACATTGAACAGAAGAACTGGAAAAACATCTCATTAAATGTGAGGTGCCTTGAGACCCATGTCATTTTCCTTCTTGGTAGGTCCAATAACGACCCATGGAGGCAGTAAATGCAACTGCAGAGGTACAATTCTTCTTTCGTCCATTCTCACCTGACCCTGAGGTGCAGAAGGCCATCTTTGTGCCCTTCTTGCTGATGTACCTGACCAGCCTTAGCGGCAATGCCACGGTTGCTGTCGTTGTCCAGACCAGCCCTTCCCTCCACGTCCCCATGTACTTCTTCCTAGCCAACTTGGCAGTTCTGGAAATCTTCTACACATCTTCCATCGCACCTCTAGCCCTGGCAAACCTTCTCTCGATGGGAAAAACTCCTGTTTCCCTCGCAGGCTGTGGAACCCAAATGTTTTTCTTCGTCTTCTTGGGAGGAGCAGATTGTGTCCTGCTGGCAGTCATGGCGTATGATCGGTTGGTCGCCATCTGCCAGCCACTGAGATACACTCTCATCATGCACTGGTCCTTGTGTGTGGAGCTGATGGCAGGGTGCCTGGTGCTCGGGTTCCTGCTGTCGCTGCCACTGACCATTTTAATCTTCCACCTCCCCTTCTGCCACAACAATGAGATCTACCACTTCTACTGCGACATGCCTGCAGTCATGCGCTTGGCTTGTGCGGACACACGTGTGCATATGATGGCCCTGTATGTCATCAGCTTCATCGCCCTGAGCATCCCTCTCCTGCTGATCTGCATCTCCTATGGCTTCATCATGGCAGCCATTGTGCAGATGCGCTCGGCCGAAGGGCGCCACCGCGCCTGCTCCACCTGCTCTGCCCACCTCTCAGTGGTCCTCCTGCAGTACGGCTGCACCAGCTTTATCTACTTGTCCCCCCGTTCCAGCTACTCTCCTGAGATGGGTCGGCTTGTGTCCGTGGTCTACACTTTTATCACCCCCGTTTTAAACCCCTTGATCTACAGTATGAGGAACAAGGAACTGAAAGAGGCCCTAAAGAAAGCACTGAGAAAGTTCTAGATCCTGTGATTTTCTGAAATGGAGGCCCTTCTGATGGTGAAATGCCATGTTATTCATAACTATGTAGGGTCTAGAATGTTCAAGGTCCTGAGTTTGATCCCAGCTCTTCAAAAACTTAAGTAAATAAAAATCAAAGTAATTATGCTGTGGTGACATGCATAAGACAAGAATGTAATGAGCAAACTTAGATATGTGACCTGATATTTTGGGACTATCAGAAAAAACTAATAGTATTGTTTTCCTGAAAATAAAGCTATGTCACATAAGGCAATATGATGTCCTACAAAAGAATGAAAAGAGGAGAATCAAAGTTTATGGGAGAGCTACTACACACTAGGCACTTTAAATGGATTATCTAGTTTATAACCCATAGTAAATATCACCATCTTCATTTTTCAGAAAAGCAAACTAAAATCGCTAACAAAAGCTGTGTCCAGGATGAGAACACACCGTGCCTAGAAATCTGGAGACCGAGCTCTCTCCACCAATCTTCTGGTACAGACTCATTCTGCCATTGGCATAGTTCAGAACCCCAGGCGAGCCTCCACTTCTCCACTCCAGTTCCTCATTTCTGAAGTGGCCAGGCTGAACTAGAAGGTTCTACGTGTCATCATTTCAATGTCACAATGCTATGTTCTAAAATATTGGCCAATCTGTACTAAGTGGCAAAAAATGAAAAGAAAAAAAGACTACAGTACAATGTGAAAGGGAACTTTCCTTTAGCATTTCTTGTTTTGTTAACCAAAATGAAAACTCACAGCAGTGTCCATAACTTTTGAAGAGCATCCCTATGATACAAAGGATAATAGTAAAGGAAATGTTATTTAATTTAATAAGTGAAATCAGGGAAGATAAAGTGGACATCGCTGAATCTTACATTTTCCAAGAGTCTTCTGTAGTAACTTGGATAAGCTCCCAAGGCGAGACTCTTCCAAGGAAAGAAATTATTAACTCTTAAATGTTCCATTCCTTACTGGATAATTCAAGCTGTTGAAGTACTCCATCTTATCTTGAGCAAAAGTCTATCTACAAACAATTTTTTTCCTTTGGTCCCAAGTTTACCCTCAGGACAGCTCTGCAAACGTATCAGGGCAGACTTTATATCTTCTACACGTCTTCGCCCCTCTCTCCTCTAGAGCAACTCCAACTCTTCCTCTGGGAGGTTGTTTGAGGTCTCACACTAGCCACCTTCTAGATTTCCTCTAATTTCATCACTTTCTACAAACTTTCACCCAGAAATAACTACAGCGTGCTGAGATTTTGTTCTGAGGAACTGTTACTTTTCAAGACCTATCAGCTGAATTTCTATTAATTCATCTTGTTATTTTACACTCATAAATCTGGTATCAAATGAAGCTCCATACAGTTTTTGCATTACTTTTAGATCTATCTGACCATAATTTATTTTTTAGTAGCATAAACTTAAGACTTTATTTATCATTGATAAATTGAGTTTTACTGGTTTAGGCCAAGTAATGCAAAAGTCATTCTGAGGCTCTGTTTTATTCATCATAGTTTACATCATGATCAAATTACAGTTGTATTTTATTTCTTTTGCCAAATCATTGACCAAGGTGTGCAGTGGGACAGCATGAAGACAGAGTGTCTTATAGTCCTCCTCTTCAGGAATTGTTCAATTAGATATCTGTTCACTTCATGCCATGGCGGATTTCGAGAATTACAGCCCTCGCCAAGTCCCACCTCCTTATGCCTATGCCTTCACCGAGCCCCTCCCATCCCTCTAGGGATGACCACGTGACTTGCTTCAACCAACGGGAATCAGCAAAGCATAGCTTTACACACACCACCTTGGGGACTGTCATGTCTCACAGTCATACATGAAGGATGTATCCGCAAGGATGACATCCCAAAGAGTAAGATAAGCAGTCCAAGCTGATGTTTTCAAGACCACCTGGACCTCATGTACCAGACAGCTTTACCCATAGTAGTAACTCCAGCAAGACCAACACACCCCACACCAGAATCCGGGGCAAATAAATGACTGATATTTTAAGCCATTGTTTAGAATCGTTTATTTTGCAGGAAACAATAAACAGATCCACCATCTAATCTATAATTAACCATCTCTTCCATAAGGATACCATCCAAACAAATGTTTTCATATAACTAAATTACACTACAGCACTTTAGAAATCTAGCCATGAAGAGCCTTATTTTTAAAATGAGATGAATTTGACATGATTTAGCATGGGTCACTTCATATGGAGTCTTAGTAATTGCTAGTCTTTTCAAAATGCTTACAAATTATCTGTTTAATCAACTTAACCATTCAGATCCTCCAGAATTTTACTAGGGGTTAGAATTGAGATGGCTATCTTACTGTTTTGAAACCCTGTAAAAGTTGTATGTGTACTTTGTATCTGCCCTTCACCTGGAAGGGAAAAGAAATGCTTTATTAGTTGTGAATGCTTTGGAAATGAAAACTACATCATTCACCTCTGAATGTCTTTAACAGTGGGTAGCACTTAATGGACCCAGGTGATCCATCACCAAGAAATACATTACCTCTTAGGAAATATGCATCTTATTTCTCATAAAGACTGTATGTTCCTGCCAGGAATGCTTCTGGATGCCTGTAATCTCAGCGCTCAGGGAGGCTGAGGCAGGAGGATGCAAAGTTCAAGCCCTACCTGGACAACTAAGTGACTTAGTGAGACCCTGTCTCAAAGTAAAAAAATTAAAAGGGCTGGGGATGTGGCTTACTGTGAAGGGCTCGCGTTCAATTGTTTAAAATAGATACATCTTCACTCGGAAAATTTTGTAAATTTCTAACTTGCTCTTGCTTTGAAGCTGGTGTTATTGATGTTAGCAATTTCTCTAATATTTGAGAGCTGCCATCCTTTATTTAAGGATGCTTCTTGTTTCCAGTCTACTGAGTTCCTATTGTTAGAATTAACTTGACAGAAGTTCAGCTTTATTCTTGAGCCTCACGATTATGCCTAAAGGCCACACACTGTCAGTGGAGAATTATTATGTCATGCCCTCATGTATGTCCCCAAAGGCACTTGCTTCATGTAACAAGCCCCTAGGTAATGCATCTGTGGAGTGGATGATCTTTATGCTTCAGGCGTGGTCTCTTGACAAATCTCTTGTTGCAATGTCAACATTCAAAACCGCAGCCTCCATGTCCGGCTAGTGTCTAAGTTTTGAAACTAATTATTTCTTTTGTTTCCTTTTTAAAATACCTATACCCCTTGATAATTCCCTTTATCAGCTTCATTGACTAAGATGAAGGGAAACAGGCAATGGTGTTTCTTCGGCAACACGCCCCTTGGACATCAAGGTAATAACAAGCCACATGTGTACACATGCAAAGCTTGTCCAAGAACATTATCATTTTACTATTTTCATCAGCACCTCTATGAAACTAAAATTATAATACACACTCTATACAGATTGGGAAATGGAGCATCAACATGGTTAGAGGATTTACCCAAAGTCATCCAGCTAGTAAGGGCAAGAGGCAGAATTTCAACTCACTCTTAAATGTTCTAATTAAGTCCAGCTCACGCTGAAGGCAGCCTGTGTTCCAAAGTATCTGTTTGTGTGAACTACATGGTTCTCAGTATGAAACCCATGACCTGCTCTGCCATCTGCTTAGTGAAAACTCAGATCTCACATTTCAACCATGCACCTTCTTGCAGTAGGTTTGCACAGACTGCATGAATATTCACCCAATCAGTCTAGCGACCGTGAGCAAATGTGGCCTTACGACTTCTGTGAGAACCCCCTTACTGGTTCCAGTGCTCTGGATGGCCCTCCTGATGTCACAGATGGAGAGCCCTTAGGATGATCTAACCTAAGATCTTTATTTTGCTGTATTTGGGGAGGAAGGGAAGGAGGGAGGGAGGAGAGAAAAGACAGAGAGACAGAGACATAGAGCAGAAGAAGAGAAGAGGAGGAAGAGGAGGAGGAAGAGAAGAGAGAAGAGAAGTTAGCAGGAGGCACCCTGGGACAAGGCTAGCTAGAGGCAGCACAAGACTGGAAGCCAAGTCATCGCTCAGCCCCATGGCCTTCCCAAAGGACCGTATGAACCCAGAGACCAGGACAATTTCCCACAGCCTGCTGTCTAGAACATCCCACTATGGTCATCAGCATTCAAGTCCTAGATAAGAATCTGGTCTAAGAAATAATATTTTACATTTATGTAGTAAGTTTTTATTTACAAAATATTGTTCTTAGTACTTGAGTCTCAAAATCAAAATGATGCTAGCTTGGTGTTATATTTTCCACAGTTGGCGACAGAGAAGTATGCCTAGCTTCTGTGGGTTGGGACAACGTCCCCGACGTCCTCTGATGGCAAATGTCTCTCTCTGTCTACTTTCTGTGTCCTGTCTGGTGAGCTGGCAACAGGAATCAGCACCGATGAACAACTGTTACTAATATCATCAGTGAGCAAATTATTAATAGTTTGTTAAATTTCTGCTTCATCTCTTGGACGGTCTGTCTTTAACGTAGTTGTCATACTCGCCTCTTTCACTTGAATGTGTATTCATCTCCTCTGTCATTACAAGTTAATTGTTGACATAGTTTGTATAACTGGGCAGCTGGTTATGGTCTTCTCAAAACAATTATTTCTTCAAGGAGTTGTGGTTATGCTTTAAAAAAATGACCTGTGACAGGGCCGGGGATTTAGCTCAGTGGTTTCGCTGCCTACTGTGCAAGCGCAAGGACCCGAGTTCGATCCCTGGTACCAAAAACAAATAAATAAATAAATAACCTGTGACAGAGATAAATCCTTAAGAATGTGATATTTAGAGCTTGAGAGAACCCAATTCAGGAGAGTAAGTGGAAGACAGATGCAAGACCCATAGCCAAGAGTCAATAATTGTTGAAGGTTGAGGCTGAATGCTGGGTACATGGGGGTTCATTTATTCTTCCTACTTTAATATTTTGATATCATCTACAATAAAAAGAGTTTTAAAAAAGAAAAACACCCTATCACGTGACTGTAAAATGTGCCATTAATTTCAATGGTT